ATAGGGACAACTAATCACAAAATAAATTAATAAAAAACAAACAAACAAATTAAAAGCTGTTTAAATTACGCTTTTTGGCGGCCGTCGAGATCCTTCCTCGACATAACCGAGATTATGAAGTTCTCGACTTGCCGCCAATTCTCTTCCGACTGGGTCATCAGCGATACCATATTCTCCGGTGTAACTTGACTGTTTACACCTTCGAACATGGCCCGCCTCTCCAAGTCCCATTTTTTGCATGAGAAGAGGGTGTGCTCCGCGTTGTCCTCAGGGAACTGGCAATATGCACACACCTCGTTCTCGCGTAATTTAAAGCGACACAGGTACGAGTTAAAACACCCGTGACCTGTGAGCGCCTGAGTCAAATAATAGGAAACCTGACCGTGTTTCCTATTTATCCAGGTGGCGAGTGCCGGGATAAGGCGATAGGTCCATCGACCTTTTCCCTCACCATCCCATCTTTCCTGCCATCTTTCTATGAGCCTGTGCCTCGCTTCTTTGCGGATCAGGCCCTTGCTTGGTCTTAATTCCTCATCCCAGGAACTGCTTTCTTTAGAAAAGAGAAACATTTCTTCCCTTTCCCTCGCCAAGAGATCTGCTGGCGGGACACTTGCAAGGACCTGCACAGCACTCGTAGATACCGTCTTATATGCAGAGATGATACGCGTTGTTATCGATCTCTGCGCCGACAGTATCTTTTCACAGATGGTAACACATCTTTTACTCCTCAGGGATGGGGCCCACGCTGGTGCTGCATAGAGCATTTTAGCGTGGGCGACACTCGCCACCAGTCTTCTTTTTTGTTCACGGGGTCCGCCAACATTTGGCATTAACCGTGAAAGATTAGCCGCACACTCGATCGCCTTATTCGACGCCGTAGCCATGTGGTGGTGGAAGTTTAACCTTCCATCCAACTCCACACCAAGGTATTTAATTTGTTTACTCCACTTGACCTCGAATCCGTCTATCACGATTCGTGGGAGCTCATAACCACGTCTGTCTGTGACTAGCAGTGCCTCGGTCTTTTCCAGGGCCATTTCAAGACCTCTGGTATCCAGCCAGCTTTTTGCTAGTCGCAGACATTCGTTCACCAATGTCCCAAGAGCCTCCTCACTCTCGGCAGTGCACACGAACAACGCGTCGTCCGCAAAGCCGATGATCATCGCACCTTCGGGCAGATCCATTCGCAGAAAATCATCGTAAGATACATTCCATACAAATGGACCCACCCTCGAGCCTTGAGGAGCCCCACGCTGCATATAGGCAGGCATATAGGCCTGTACGATGAAACCTTATCTAGAGGTTTTTCACCTTTCCTTAGGAGGACTAACCTCTGTCGCTTCCAGTCGCGGAAGAACTCTCCTCTCTCAAGGCAAAGATTGAAGCATCGAAGCAGAATCTGGGGTGAAGTGTCGATTACCAACTTTAGGATCTCGTTACTTATCCCATCGATTCCAGGCGCCTTGCCTGTTTTTAATCTTTTGCCTGCTTTTTTCAGTTCACTAAGTGTGAAGAGTTCTTCCTCTTCGACTTTGCAAAAACTCCAGTCCCTTCTAAGGTATGGTTCTGCAGGAGGAAACAAAGAACTTATTATCTTTCTGACCCAATCGGGATTGTCCAGGCCGGGGGTCTTTTGCCTCGTCACTAATTTCTTAGTTACGATTTTAAAAGCCAGACCCCATGGGTCCTTATCGACCTCCTCGATTAGGTCCTTCCAGCTACGGCGTCGCGACTTGCGGATCTCTTTCTTGAGGTCCTTTTTCGCCTCCTTGAAAGCCTCTTTCAGCAAGGGATCTCCCTTAGAACGGGTATATGTCCTTCTTGCTTTGAGGCATTCCTTTCTCAAGGAGGACAGTTTTTCTGACCACCAGTGCAAGGATTTTTTCCTTGGAAAGGCGCCTTTGCGACGTGGCATCGACGCATTGCAAGCGGTGACGATTATATTTCGCACCGCTCGCACCTCTCCATTTAGACTTTTCGGCCTCCTCACCCAACCAGAATCCTCAATTAAGATAGATTCTTTTAGGGACCGGCTGAACTTCTCCTTGTCGAGTTTCTTAATGTTCCACGAGAAGGTTTTGCGACTAGGAGCTTCCTGTCTCTTTCCTCCTCGTGTGTCTCCCATTGAGACTGAGAACTCAATGTACTGGTGGTCACTTGCTGTATATTCCTCAGAGACCCGCCAGTCGCTTATGCGGCTAAATATATTAGACGATGCTATCGTTAGATCTATTATCGATCCGATCGCACCTCGTCTAAACGTCCATGTTTTTCCCCGGTTTACAACTAATAAATCGTTCTTGGAGATCATTTCTCCAATCAGAATTCCTCTCTTGTCGAGCCTCGTCTCACCCCACTCTGGCGACTTTGCATTAAAATCGCCAGTGATGATGACATCCAGCTTGGATTCTATGAGGCTCGATTCTAGGTCTTCTATATTGGCTTCGAAGGTGGTCAGCGGGTCGTTGGGTGAGAAGTAGCAGCTATACATACGTATGTTAGCCACCTCTATCCACACAAACCCGCTGCTTGTCTCCAAGAACTTGTCAACCCGCAATTCTGGGTTGCACAGCTTGATGGCGGCTCTCTTCGCCTTATCCTGATACCAAGGTGCGAGGTCGCTTCCTTGATACTGCTCACTGCAGAACAGGATATCCACCTCATTTTCCCTAGCTGTTTGCATCAGGAGCACCTGTGCATCCTTACTTGTATGCAGGTTGACTTGAAGGAGCTTTAAGGATTTGCCCTTTTAAGTTTCTCCAGTTCCTCCTTGTAAACCGGGCAGGAAATTCTTCCAGGGATATGGTTGACTTCCGTTTTTCCCAAATCTGTACACGTTATGCACTTTGGCTTGTCATTAGTACACTTTTTGGAGAAGTGTCCCGCTTCGCCGCATCTCCGACAGTTTTTGTTCTGTCGGGGCCCTTGCAAATTCGGGTCACGTGTCCATAGGCTAGGCACTTTTGACATCTTGTCACTTCTAAGTGCGTTCGGATGGATGCATTTATCCAGCCAATACGCACTTTGCCCAGCTTAAGCAGACTCTCGCTGTCCGTTTCATTCAAGCGTACTAGTGCCACTTTCGTACCACCAAAACGTGTCAGAAGTCGGCAAGTCACCTCTAATTCGGGCTTTTGCAACTTCTGCTTTAAGACGGTTAAAACGTCCTCCTCTAAAGTTGTTTCGACAAGATCCCGAATTTCGAGGGTCTTTTTACTGACAAGAGCCGTAACCTCGGCCTTGTCCAGAAGAACGGAGGTAAGATTCTGAGCGAACTTTGAAGTTTCACCCCCCTTTTTCACAACAACAAGAACCTCTTTTTTAAGAGTTCTCCTAATTTTCACAATCTCTGTTCCAGTTTCCTCTGGCTTTACCGAAGTTGTTGCCAGTTTTATGAGATCATGGTAGGTCTCTGGATTCCGGGCCACAATTTTTATTGCCTCCGTTGTTCTAATTTTGGGGGGGCGCTTCTGAAGTCGCTCCCTCTCCTCCGCTTTCTTCAAGGCCTTTTTCTTACGGGCCTCCCGTTTCCTATTGGAGACAGTTTCAAAGTCTTTTTCGTTTTCAGGCTTATTTGCCACAGTTGCCTCCGAATAAGAAGCAACCCTGGCCGAAGCAGCCTTACTCACCTCCGTCTCCATAACAGTAGGGTTTGCCTTGGTCTCCTTGCTCTTAACCCTCTTACCCTTGGGAGTGGTCACAGAAGAATCAGTCTCCGGACCTTCAAACTCTCTAGGGCGCTTCCTTGGGTCGATGGACTTGCTCTCGCTGGATGTGGCGTGCGACATCGATCTAGGAGTTTCAGGATTCGACCTTGGTTTGCTTGGGCTAATGAAGGGCTTAGGTATAAATCGCAGGTTTCTGCAAAGCACCTCGTGCACCTTCTCCATTGCCACCATTCCATCCTTAACATCCTTGCTAATGTTTTTTTGCTTTTTGCAAGCACGCCACATACTATCCAGTATTATTGGGATCAGATCGACCTGTTCTAAAACATTTTCTTCGAATCTGCTAAGTCCCACATCCTCAGAATTTTTTATTTGGCTCCCTCCAAAATCCTTGGAGCCGTCTGCACCGACTACCGGGGCTTGAACCCGATCAGAATCGGTGACGGGATTACCCTCATTTGAGGTACCCGCTTGGAGTAATTTATTTGAATCTTTATCCATTTCATTCATTTGTTTTTTGGTTTTAGAATCAGGGAACCACCCTGTTGGTTGCCCTTTAGTGAAAAGCCCCGCCACCACGGCAAGGTCTACCGAACATATCCATGATGGCAATCATGTCTGGCAGTGGATAAGCATCCACTTCTCCCAGCACATCAAAGACATCGATGATGTTCGGTAGTGGACAACCATCGCTGGGATTATTATTATTATTATTATATTATTTATTATTATTATTATATATTATTATTATAGTATTATTATTATTATTATATTATTATTATTATTATTATTATTATTATTATTATATTATTATTATTATTATTATTATTATTATTATTATTATTATTATTATTATTATTATTATTATTATTATTATTATTATTATTATATTATTATTATTATTATTATTATTATTATTATTATTATTATTATTATATTATTATTATTATTATTATTATATTATTATTATTATTATTATTATTATTATTATTATTATTATTATTATTATTATTATTATTATTATTATTATTATTATTATTATTATTATTATTATTATTATTATTATTATTATTATTATTATTATTATTATTATTATTATTATTATTATTATTATTATTATTATTATTATTATATTATTATTATTATTATTATTATTATTATTATTATTATTATTATTATTATTATTATTATTATTATTATTATTATTATTATTATTATTATTATTATTATTATTATTATTATTATTATTATTATTATTATTATTATTATTATTATTATTATTATTATTATTATTATTATTATTATTATTATTATATATTGTTAATGTAATAATATAAAGTTAATTTCACTTTTATTTACTCTTTTTAGGTGTAACATTTTTAACATTTACGACGGATGGATGGACATCCAGGGCAATAGAATCATTCATTTCCCTAACGGTACACTATCTAAGTGTAAATTTTATACAAAAACATTTTGTCCTAAATGTTCGCAACATAATTGTGTCACATACAGGACAAAATCTTTATGAATTATTAAGGAGCTTGCTAGAAGAGTGGAACCTATTAACTGCAGGAAAAAATATTTTTTTTGTTACCGATAATGGACGTAACATTGTTAAAGCTATAGAAATAGGCGAATGTGAAGATAATTGGCAGCGTATTTCATGCTTTGCTCATACATTGCAGCTTTGTATAGGAGATGCTAAAAAATCATGTACAAATTTCAAAATTTTTGTGAAGAAGTGCAGAAGTATTGTGGGTTACTTTGCACGTTATTCAGTTGCAAGAACAAAGCTCAAACGGATTCAAAAATTATTGAACCCTAATTCGCGACCTCTTTTATTAATCCACGATGTTGACACTCGATGGAATTCGGAGTATGCAATGTTCGAGCGGTTGTTAAAATTACGAAGGCCTCTTAGTAAATTATTAAAAACTAAAGGTATGTAAAAATATTATTACTTGACAAGATACTATACTAAGATATTTACTAAATTATTAAAAACTAAATCTTTGTACAAGGTTGCCACAGGTCAGAGAGTAGAATTGGTCAGGGAAAAGTCTTTTCTTTACTATATTTTCTCATAAATTATGAAATTACCTCGAACTCTAATACAAAACTTTTAATTTTTTCTATTTCTGACAATAATTTCTTTCTATTTTAATTAAAAACACTAAAAAAATAAATTTTGGGAAAATAACAAATCATTGCAGAAATTTAATTATTTTTAAGAGTAATAAAATACTTTGGAGAAATTCAATTATGTTCAAAAATTTTTTTAAATTCTTGTCAAAATTTCAATTATCTTTATAACTAATAAAATTTTTCACTGAAATACAATTATTTTTAAAAGTTTCCTCAATTCAATGATTTTCAATATCTACTATTTTAATAAAGTTTTCCAAAAGAACTCAATTATTTAAATTGAATTTTAATAAAATTTTACGCAAACATTTAATTATTTTCATAAATATCAAAACTCATCTCAGAATTTCAATGATTTACAATCCAATTTTAATCGAATTACTCGAAAAATGTAATTATTTTTACAATTTTTATTAAAAATCGTCAAAAGAATCCAATTATTTAAAAATTAGTTGATAAAATTCTTTTTGAGAATTAAGTTTTAAGAAACATTCAATTATTGAATAAAATTAAAAATTAAATTAAATAAATTTAATTGAATTCTCGTACAACTTTCTGATAGTAATTGACTTAAAAATGAATTTCAGATAAAATTTTAGATAATAACTGAATACCAAAAGTTTCATATCGAAAATTTTTAGATTTGTAAATTTTGAAATCTTTAAAAATATGAACTTTTCATACTTTTAACTAACAATTCTGTACAATTGATTTTTTTGAAAAAGTTTAATTTAATCTTTTTTAAATTATTTGAAGTTTTTATTTTCTAATATATATTTCATTGCAGAATTTCCGAATAATTGAAATTCCTTAAAATTGAAATGAATTTGAACATTCTTAAAGAATTTTTTCAAAAATTATTAAAACTAATTCTAATTGATTTCATGAAAAACTTGAGTTAAAAATTCTAGAAAATAATAATTTAATTGAAATGATGAAAATAATATTAAAGAAATTACAGTAACAATATTCTTATAATATAAAATAATTATTTTATAACGCCGTCATATTTAATTATTTTAAAACACGAAGAAATCGATCGATTTTTTCATGTTCGCAAATAAATGTATTAGAATATTTTTTGAAATATCTAATAATTTTTAGAGTTAATCATAATATTCTTTAATAGAGATCAGGGAAAAAGTCAGGAAAAAAGAAAATTATATTTTTGTGGCAACACTGATGTACACAAGAATTATTATTTGTCAAGATAATATAATAATATATAATGCAAAAATAGTTTTAAATATTTTTTAGGAATGCCTAAAAACTTGTCAAATTGTCAATGGAAGCTTCTAAATGATTACGTTAATGTTCTTCAACCTTTAAAGGAGGCAACGGAATTATTGTGTGCTGACACATACCCGACAGCATCGTCTTATATTCCGATTGTAAATGGAATTCAGAAGACATTAGAAGAACTCCCTAATGATAGCAACAATTTAGTGGATAATCTATCAAATTCGATTAAAAAAAGATTCAAAGTGATTAAAAAAAATACAACTCTACAATTAGCCATGATGTTAGATCCCCGCTACAAAAGTTGCTACATCAAAACTGAATCAGCAAAAAGGAAAATAAAAAAAAATTATTTGAAGCCGTTTCGTCTGAATCAACATCACTGAAAGAAAGCGATGAATTGTTGAAGTCTTCTCAAAATCAAAAGTCTTTCGGTACACAAAAAATTTAATTACTTTTAATTAGTGAAAATAAACATTTTAATTAATTATTATTTAATACGAATAACAGTTTATGGTAGATATGAGAATATTATGACTATTTTAATGCAATATTTAATTATAAGCTATTCAATGTTTTTAATAGATTCAAAAAATTTAATATACTTATCTTTTAATAGGCAAATCAAAAAAGAAGATTGAAATGTTCTTCGAAGAAAACTGCTTTAAGAAACAACAGCCGAGCAGCATTGAAGAAGAAATTAAATTTTATCTGGAAAACCCTTTACTACCGTATAATTTGGATCCCTTAAATTGGTGGAGAAACAATCAGCACTTATTTCCACACTTAGCTGTATTAGCGAGAAATTACTTAAGCATTCCTGCTACTCAAGCAAGCAGCGAAAGGCTATTCTCGACAGCTGGAAATATAGTGACAACAAAACGGTCATCACTGTCTTCTGATCATGTGGAGGAACTTTGCTTTTTGCACCACAATGCTCCAATGACAAATTAAATTGTTTGATTAAAAACATTAGACGGATCACAGTGACTTTAATGTAATATTAGGTATCATAGGCTATTTTATTTTCCAAACAGGGGATTAAATTTAAAAAATAAACGGTAATAACTGAGATCCCTGTTATTAAATAGTTATTTTTTATTTAAAAGCTTCAAACTTTGAGCTGAATTAACTATTCTATGTTAATTTATTATATGATAATTTTTTGTACATAAATTAATAAAGAGTTTTGAAAACATAATATTTTGTTATTTTCGCAGCATGATGACTCGAAAAAAACAGAGTTCTCTGAACATGACGTTTACCTGACTCCTGGACACCCGGATGCATTGTAGGGTTAGACTAAATCAATGATTATTTAGTAGAAACTAAAATTCCCTGAGGATGATTTTTACTTGACTCCTGGATACCCGAGTGCACTTCAGGGTTAGTCTATGTTTATGATTATTCAGTATAAACAAAAATTCCCTGAAGAAGATGTTTAGTTGACTTCTGGACATCCGGGTACACTTTACGGTTAGTCTACCTCTACAGCTATGATTATTCGATAGATACAAAAAATTCCCTGAAGAAGATGTTCACCTGACTCCTGGACACCCGGGTGCACTTTAGAGTTGGTCTATAGCTATGATTATTCGATATAAACAAAAATTCCCTGAAGAAGATGTTCACCTGACTCCTGGAAACCCGGGTGCACTTTAGGGTTAGTCTATGTTTATGATTATTCAATAGAAACCAAAATTCCCTGAGGATGATTTTTACTTGACTCCTAGACATCCGGGTGTTCTTTAGTATTATTTTGGCAGCATGATTACTCGAAAAAAACAGTATTCCCTAAAGAAGATGTTCACCTGACTCCTGGACACCCGGGTGCACTTTAGAGTTGGTCTATAGCTATGATTATTCGATAGAAACAAAAATTCCCTGAAGAAGATGTTCACCTGACTCCTGGAAACCCGGGTGCACTTTAGGGTTAGTCTATGTTTATGATTATTCAATAGAAACCAAAATTCCCTGAGGATGATTTTCACTTGACTCCTAGACAGCCGGGTGTTCTTTAGTATTATTTTGGCAGCATGATTACTCGAAAAAAACAGTATTCCCTGAAGAAGATGTTCACCTGATTCCTGGACACCCGGGTGCACTTCAGGGTTAGTCTATGTTTATGATTATTTTGATGGAAACCTAAATTCCCTGAGGATGATTTTCACTTGACTCCTGGATACCCGGGTGCACTTTACGGTTAGTCTATAGCTATGATTATTCGATAAAAACAAAAATTACCTGAATATGAGGTTCACATGACTCCTGGACACCCGGGTGCACTTTAGTGATTGTCTATAGCCATGATTATTTTGATGGAAACCTAAATTTCCTGAAACTGGTGCAAGTACTCGAAAAACACGGGTACCCGAAATTTTCGAGTACTCGAGTGGATTCGGGTACCCGAAAAATTCGAGTACCCGAAATTTTCGAGTTCCCGAAATTTTCGAGTACCCGAAAAATTCGAGTACCCGAAATTTTCGAGAACCCGAGTGGATTCGGGTACCTGAAAAATTCGGGTACCCGAAAATTCCGGGTACCCGGTACATCGAGCCAAGCTCGGGCTCGGCTCGAAAATATTCCGGCTCGGCTCGGCCATTTGAGCTTTATGCACACCTCTACGAATTTGGTTCACTATTTTAGCGGAAAAACGTCTGATTAAAAAAAATGACTATCTTGTTCTCTTCATAAAATGTCAATTTCAATCTATCAATCACAATTTGTGGTTTATTGAAGTTTTATAAAAAAACTGGTTTCTTGAAAGGGCTAATTGTTTACATATAAACAATTCAATACAGTAGCGACAGTATCAACTTTAAAGGGGAGGTTTTCATTGCGAAGGCCAAAATAAACACAAACTTTGACAATTTTTTGTGAGGAACGGCTATGACTTAGTGATGTAGTTTTTTTCTAAATAAAGATACATTCTTAAACTTTTAAAACATATATTTCATTTTCAAAAAAATGCAAAATGGCGGCAAATATGGCGCATCTAAAAAATAATGTTTTTTTAAATAGGGCAAACGGTGGGCATTCTACAGTGCGCAATTTTTAGTCTAAAACAAAAACTCAAAATTTTTTATAAAGATGACATCCTAAAGAATAGATTATACCAATAAAATAGTTAAAAAGTTGACAAAATGGCGAACATATTTTTAAAAAAAAAACTGCGTTTTTGCAATAATTTTTCCATTTTTGACCTCTTGTAAAAATATCTATTGTTGACAATTATATCATATTATATGTATAACCCCAGTAGAATTTAGTTACCTTTAATTAGCCGCAAACCCGAAGTTAATTTATTAAATAGTTTAAACGCTACGATTCCCACCAGTTTGAAAAATTTTGTTTAGAGAAAAACGCGTTTAAAGTTTGAAAAACATTTTTGTGCAATAATTGTATTCTTTGATCAATATCCGTATATGATAAATATCTATAGGTATTTAGGGTCGCTCTTTATGATTCTGAGGTCAGATTTGCAAAATTTTTTAAAATCGACTTGATTTGCCTGACTTTTGTTACTCAATGCCCGGGACGCCGGTGAGTTCAAGACTCCATGAAAACGAAAAATTCTTTAGATAAAAAAATCGCTGTACACGCATTTTCTACATATATATAGCTTTCAAAAAATGCATTAAAAAAGAAATTAATTTTTTTGACTCCCGCAATGGAAACCTCTCTTTAACAATTTGGGATAAACGCCTTTTAAATAAATATATTTTTCTGCAAATTTTCAAAAAAAAATTATTGATCTAGAATTAAAGAGATGGAAGAAAATTTTATTAAAAAAATCCTGAGCAATTGTTTATCAATATTATTACTTGGTTTTTTAATAATAATTTATTAGTTATATAAAATTAATAATTTGTGTTCATTATGTTTTAAACTTGGTTAGCTTTTTCTCAGGATTTCAAATTTTTTTATAACTTTTTCTAAAAAAATGATAAACAATACATGAGAAAATTAATATATATCTTTTTTAATTTTCATTCTTGCAAAAGAACTGTCGTCAATTCAATAAATTGTTCTTCTTACTTTACGAATGACAAAAACTATTTTTACAAATCAAACACACCTCTAAAAAGCAGTTTTTTGCAAAACTTCAATTAACCATAAATTGTTATCCCAGATTGGTATTTCATGAAGAGAACAAGACAAAAAAATTGACTTCTATCCGGCGAAAAATGTAGAAATTATATTCTAAAAACCATGTTTTTAATTAACAAATGCAAATTTTCATGAACTATTTATCCCATTGGATCCAGCTTTGTCAAACTTTCTAAGTGTCCCGAGAGGTATATTTTTGGAAAATATCAAAAGAATTTGTTAACATTTGTACGAGTTGTGACAAATTTTAAATAAATAACAAATTGAAGTCAAAGAAGTGAACATATATTGATAATATTCAATTAATTTTAGAAAATATTACGTCTTATTTTTTAGTATACAAAAAGAAAAGCACTCCACATTCAACATTACATTCACTCTTTCAAAGAATAAATAGCCATTTATAAAAATTCTGATCAGAAATAAAAATTACTAATTAATGTATATAATTCAGTCTTAGATTCAGTGCTTCGAAGAAATTGCGATAAAAAGATAAAAACGACAATTACAAATTTTATGTAATACAAAAGTGTGTGGTCAACAGACATAAAAATTAATGTCGTCAATACAAAAAATAAAAAAAGGAACGAACTCACCAAACTACGAGATTTATCTCAATCCCAATTGTACAATGATTTTCGCTCGATTCCGGGTCAAAATAACAATTCTCGAACGAATCCTATCGTTCGTCGTGGGATTTCAGCTTCGCAAATTCGTGCAGCTTGCAGTTAATCAGGAGATTCAGCCGGTATCGAGACGATGATTTACAAAGTAATTTCACGTAGAAATCGGGATTCTTATCCGTTTCAGCTTGGCGAGTTATTTTTCTTAAAACAATATTTTGTATCGTCGGCGTTGAGATTAGCAACAACAGGCGAATCTTCACGCTGTGTCGTTTGATCGTTATACACAAGCGGCTATAATCAAATTACCACCAATTTTATTATAACTTCACGTTAAAAACAACAATTATCAAATTAATAATAATTATACTTTACCCCTTTAGGGCGTCGTGACAAATATCTGGATTAGCCAGTTAAATTTTCTTTCCTCGCACCTAACGACATGCTGGGAGTCGTTGACCACACTGCTGATTTTTCCTTTTCGACAATACTTCACACACATTTCGCACTCACACTCCTATTACTTCAGTCTTGTCACCTTAAAGGCGCAAACTCATCTTACTATGAATTCGTATCGCTACAGAGTTATTAAAGAATTAAAAAAGTGTTATTTGTAGTGGTATTAATTCGTTTGTAAGTAAATTACCAATTTTAATTGAAGACCCGTCATTTTAGAGGTATTTCCGAGCTTTACAACTTGCAATAACACTTTGTTTCTAAAATGTCATTAAAAGGAACAATGATCGAAAAACTGTTTCTTCACACCTTTAACAATTTTACAACGCACTGCTTGAGAAATGTTAAATGCTGCTTGGAAAACGTACACATTTATTCTTCTACTCCACACTACATTAATACACAGACAAAAGTCAGGTATTAATTTTGGCAAGAAATGACGAATTTTTCACAGAGCGACTGGACTAACCCTCTAATAGCCGAGTTTTTTGCCGTTATTATAAATGTATAATGTTTAGTAAATTCGACTATTATATTATTCAATATAAAAAAACATTTTTTAACATGTTCCG